GGGGTCGGTTTCATGCAAGTTCTACAATTGTGCTTCTCAACTTCAGCCATCTTAAAACAGGTGGACTTCAACTCCCAGAGTTCCCCAGCAAGCATGGCTGAGAGTGGACGACGTTCACCCATCTCAAAGTTGCCACGGTTGAGAAATACCGCTCTACAGCTCTGCTGGTTGAGGAATGTTGGGAGCTGAAGTCCACAAGTCTTAAAACGGCCAAGTTTGGAGACTCCTGGTCTACAATTTGAATTTCCTGCACTGCCTCCAGAAGGTGCATGGAGCCTTCTCCAAAGGCAGTTCAGAAGAGACTCAGAGGGATGTTTCTTCTGCTCTTCTTCAGATACCAGAGCTGTGTGTTACCAGGATACAGGGGACACATACAGGGGGACATGGAGCACAACGGAGAGTGGTGCAGAATGTCTGAACTGGAAGACCAAAGCTTTCGACTTTAACCGCTTCCACGTGCATCGTCCAAACGCCTTGCACTTGGGGCTTGGTGATCACAATTATTGCCGGTAAGAGGTTGAATCAGGCAACTTGTGTTGTCTGTATCATGCACATTTTGGAGGAGTGCTGAGTTGTTTTACAGCTGTATTTCTCAGTCTTGGGAACATGTAGCTGTGAGGACTTCAGGCCAGTCCGCAGCTCCTTCAGTTCCATGGCTGATTGGGAGGTTCTGGGAGTTGAAGTGCATAGAAGTTGCCAAGGTTTGGGAACACTGGTTTACAAGAGCTAAAAATGTTTGATAGCATCTTTTCTGATGAACAAGTTTTATTAAAAAGTATTCAGTGTAAACTACTGCAGACAAAAATGTATTCTTGGCATTAAATACATTGGTCAGAAAAATGCTAATATAAACCTTTCTCTGATTTATGAGCAGGTTTAGAGATCAGTAAAAGTATCTAAATTAAGGAAAGAGAGACTTTGGAAGACATTGGAAATGATACAATACTGGGATGTTATATTTTGTTAGGCATAGTCCTTAAATCCACCTATGAATTGCTTTATTATGCATTATTAATTCTACGCTCCTCCCTCCCCCCCTCCCTCCAATAGACTCACAATCCTGAATGTTCTATCACTGTTTTCTTTAGAAATCCAGATAAAAAATCAAAACCCTGGTGCCATGTTCTTAAAAACAATGGGTACGCCTGGGAATTTTGCAGCATTAAGTCCTGCGCCAATGGTAAGCTCAAAGCCTTTATGGTTGTTTACTGAAAATGGATGCAGTTCCTAAGCAGGGCTAAAAATGGGATTTGTTACACCGAGCTTTTCATTTCAAAGCAAACAATTGTTTTCCCCTACTTCTCTTCTGGAACTGCAAACCCAGATTTGGAAGAGGTTCCACTTCATGGTTTATTTATATATAATATAAAGAGGTATAATATGGCCAGGGGCTTCAAAAACTTTAGCAAGGGGTTCTCTGCCTGGTTGCTGGGTGGGCATAGCAATGGTGGGCATGGCCTAGTCAGCATCCTGCACCATGGCAGCGGGTGTGTGTGTGTGTTTGTTGTGTGTGTGTGTGTGTGTTTGCCCTTCCTGGGATCTGGAGGTTTTCCTTGAGCCTCCAGGAGGGTGAAAATGGCCTCCCCAGGCTCCAGAGGCCCTTTGGATGGGCCCATTTCTGGCCTTCCCGAACTTCCAGTAGGCCCATTTTTTGCCCTCCCCGAGCCTCCGTGCGTGCCCTGCACTTACTTGCATCCAAAATGGGCCGCATGGAGACTCCTGGGAGGGGCGGGGAGGGGAGAGGCGGGGCACACCAGGGGTGGGATTTGGGGGCTCTCCAAACTGCACAGAATCCTAGCTAGAGGTTCTCCCAAACTCCTGCGAACCTCCAGCAGCCCATCCCTGAATATGACTCATGTCACATAGGTTGGTGGGGCAGGTTGGGGACCTTTTCCATTTTCAGATGGGCCTATTTTAGGACTTCCATGGCTCTTTTAGCTTATTTCCCATCCCCAATCGTTTCTGAGTTGGGATGTCTCTGATAATTTGAATATTGGCGGCTACTTCAGTCGGAGACCTGTTGGGAAGTACCCAACCAGGCAGGGTGGAGGGCTCAAACAGGGAACTAGCCTGGAATTGTAAAGGATCCAAAATTGAAACCCCCTAAGCTTCATAGAGAAGGGACACGGTGGCTCAGTGGCTAAGACGTTGAGCTTGTCGATCAGAAAGGTTGGCAGTTTGGCAGTTTGAATCCCTAGTGCCATGTAACGGAGTGAGCTCCTGTTACTTGTCCCAGCTTCTGCCAACCTAACAGTTCGAAAGCACATAAAAATGCAAGTAGAAAAATAGGAACTACCTTTGGTGGGAAGGTAACAGCGTTCTGTGCATCTTTGGTATTGAGTAATGCCGGCCACATGACCAGGGAGACGTCTTTGGACAGTGCTTGATCTTTGGCTTTGAAACGGAGATGAGCACCGCCCCCTAGAGTCAGGAACGACTAGAACACATATGTGCAAGGGGAACCTTTACTTTAAGCTCCTTAGAACCTTATCTAACTATTCCCGAGAGAAGGCTACCAATCTAGGGCGATTCCTGTATTATTGGCAGAATACATTAAAGTAGTTTGTGCGGATCTGGTGGCTTGCATCTGACAGGATCTTCCCCTATATTCAGCCTGGGGCAATACTCCCCAACATCAAACTAAACTTCCAAACTAAAGAATGAAAAAATGGGATTTTCTCTATCCAACCTATCCCTTTTCCTGTCCTTTGTCACAGAAAAAGATTCCTGTGTTTTGGGAAGAGGCACCGACTATCGGGGCAGCCATCACCAAACAGCATCTGGGGTGACGTGTCTGAGATGGGACTCCCACATCCTTGACAAGAAAGTTTACAACGCCTTCCATTCCGATGCCCATCATCTAGGCCTCAGCAGCCACAACTACTGCAGGTGAACCAGAAATGTCTTTATTCAGCCTCTATAGCTGCCCAACTCAACCAAGTGGGCTTTGGATGACAGAATCTCTGTTGAATGTTCTTTGGAAGATGGCACCCATTGGATCACAGTGGGTGAGATTGGGGCAAGGGTGGAGGTTCTGTCCTCTCCTCTGAGTATTGAGATTTGGAGATATTTCATTTGGATGCTTGGCAACTGGCATGTACTTATGACAGTTGCAGTGTCCCGGGGTCATGCAATCCCCTTTTGCAAACCTCTGACAAGCAAAGTCAATGGGGAAGCCAGATTCACTTAACAAGCGTGATACTAATTTAACACCTGTGGGGATTTACTTAACAACTGTGAAGTGGTTGTAAAATGGAACAAAACTCACTTAAAAACTGTCTTGCTTACCAAAGGAAATTTGGGGCTTAATTGTGATCATAAGTCGAGGACTGCCTACATTAGGAGATCTTACAGTCCTCCCTGCTGTCTTGTGTGTTACAGGAATCCTGACAATGACACTCGGCCGTGGTGCTATATATTCAAGAACAGAGTGACAAGATGGGAACACTGTGAAGTGCCAGCCTGCTGTAAGTGGGTGATTCTCTTTCTCTGATTTATCCGAGACTCTTCTTCACAAGGATTCTGACCAAAGCCTTATGCTGGGAATGGAGAACTAATTGTTTCCTTGCATCGTTTCATTACCCAAACTAGGTAACATCATCAGTGCTAGTCAGGGGTTTACTCTCGGTTGGTATTCCAGTCGCCTGCCCTCTCAGTCTTGGTGCAGGGGGTCTTGGAGCTTCCTTGGTTGGGCTGTTTACTGGCAACACATTTGCCAGTTCCTTGATCAGTGTATTGTTCATTTTTTGATTGTGGGTCTGGTGTTAAGCTGGGAGTTAATTTATGCTCAGCTCGATGCCGATTGCTGGTGGGAAGATGTTTTGCTCTTTTTATTCTCTTTTTGACTTGTTGATTGTCGCTTATATACTGAAAGTAGATATTGTTTATGTCTGTGTGTCTATGGATGGCTAATTTGTCCGAGTGCCAGGCTTCTAGAGTGATTGTAAACAGATGTTGATTTTCACTGCTTGGTCGCATCTAAATCTCATTCCTTGGCTTCTTCCTTCCCTTGTGCAGCCACTTGTGGGCTGAGGAAGCATAGGGTGGCTTTGATCCCAATCAAAGGAGGTGCATATTCGTATATTGAGTCCCACCCGTGGCAGGCGGCCATTTTTATGAAGAACCGAGGTAGAGAAGGTTTTCAGTGTGGTGGGATCCTCATCAATTCTTGCTGGATCCTCTCAGCTGCTCACTGCTTTTCAAAGAGGTAAGAGATGAACCTGTGACTCACTCTCTAGACTGTGGCTAGTCAGCAAGTTCCTGGATAGCAGAGGAGACCAAACCCATCTAACCAACATCCTCTGCCTTGCTCAGTGTTCACAGCTGTTTGGCAGGGATTCTTGCTAATTCCCTGGTGACTCCATGGAACTGATATGCATGGATCTTCTCTTGCATGCCAGAAAGTAGAAGTTTCTTCTCCTTGCAAAATATTCACAAGAGGGAGGTTATGTCACAGAAAGCTGTGGAAATCCAGCGCTCCCAAATGATCTAGGGTTCCAAAGAAACTTCCAAGTTGCATTTCCCCTCTTTCCTTCTGTCCATGATTTAAAGCTCCCCAAGAATTTGCAAGCATGGCCCTCATCCCCAGTTTTTGCATTTGCATGGTCAAAATATTGCATTCGTCTTCCAAACCCTGGAAAATACACAGAACAGAGGAGGAGGTGCTAGGGCTGTGTAGGTGCCTTGGACTGGAGGGCGTAACTTCCTTAGAACATAAAAAAAGTTTTCCTGGGCCATCTGCAGAGACATTGTTGCTTCTTCACACCCAAATATTCTGCACTGATATTGCCTAAGTTGACTTATCACAGCAAACCATGGTTTACATTAAGCCATTGTTTGTTGCAACCCCAATGGGCTGGGTTTACAAATCATGGAAACACTCAACAGCTCAACATGAACTGTAAAAACCTGAGTAGACACTGGATGTTAACACACTTAGAGTTTTCTTTTTTTGTTGTTGGGAGTTTTGCAGCCAAGATCTAACAATCTTAGTTGGCTTAACTGTAGTTTGTTGAGTAAAGAAAAAAAAAGTTGGCTGGATGTGCACCACATGCTATCCCAGTGTTGGTGAACCTTTTTGGCACCGACTGCCAAAATGGGTGGGAGGGGGGGGGGCTGTGTGCCGGAAACCAGAAAAGCAGATGCCCGGTGCACATGTGCGCATCGGGACAATGATGTGCCGGTTTCCAGCATGTGCATGCACCCTAGGCACCTGGTCTTCTGTTTTCAGGCATGCATGCGTGTGCTAAGACCAGCTAGCCGGTGTGCTGGAAACCGGAAGAGTAACGGACAACAGCTTGCGTGCCTGGAGAAATGGCTCTGTGTGCCACTTCTGGCACTCGTGCCATAGATTCGCCATCACAGTGCTAATCCATTCAACCCATTATGGTTAGGCTATCCTGTATATTATGTCACATAGAAGCAAATCCACATTCCTTTGGCTTGTTGTTTGGATACACCTAACCACTGGATTTACACAGTCCATTCATTCCAGGACACGGAACACTAATGATCCTTTAGTGATTCACAACACTGTTGGATCCTGTCTTGACTCTTTCCCATATTCACAATAGGACGTGGGAGGATGTAGGTGGGTGGGGAGCCATCAGGTGCATCTCAGACCAGACTAAGATTTGAACTAAGGCAACAGGGTGTCCATAGATGTTGGTGTCTTCTGTTAAGCAAAGAACCAGCTTCAACATCCTCCCTTTGCAGCAATCCTTTTGGGCTCACAAAGGTCCCCCCAGGGGGACTTTCTGGAGAATGGACAGTTTGGGGCAGACCTTCCCCTTTCTCACAACCATTTTGAGTAGACCCAGACTTCTCAGATGCTTGCGGGAGAACCAGGACTGAGCACAGGGCCTTCTCCAAGGAGCTGAACCCTCTGCTCATGATTCCTGTTGGGAGGAGAAATGAGAGAGTTGCATTTGGAGGGAAGGAAGGTTGCCCCTGGAAGCTGGCCCTCACCTGTGGTTTTCTATACAGCACTGTCCTCCAAAGCCTCAAAGTTGTCCTGGGCCGGACGGCCCGTGTGAAACCATCCATCACAGAGCAGATCTTCCAAGTGGAGAGGTACATTATGCATGAGAAGTACAACGCCGCCACTTATGACAATGACATTGGTAAGCTTTTTTTCCTGCCTCCCTCCCAGCCTGGAGGCACAACTTCTGACTGATCTCTTGCTCAAGCAGAGGATTGGACCAGAAGACCTCTAAGGTCCCTTCCAACTCTGTTATTCCGAATTCTGGCTCTCATGGGCCTTTTTTCCTTCTTCTTTTGCTCTCTGTTTTGACAGCCCTGTTGAAGTTGAAACACCGTTTCGGAAACTGTGCCGCAGAAACTGACAGTGTCCGTCCCGTTTGTCTCCCAAAAGCTGGACTCAAGCTGCCCGACTGGACGGAATGTGAGGTGTCCGGATACGGCAAGCACGAAAGCAGTACGTGAGGGTCACTTTCACCAGCCATTTAGAGTTGGAGGACAATCTGGCTGTTGATGGTTTTGGACAGGCAGAGTGCTGGACAGGATTTCTAGGGTAGAAGAACCCTTGTTGGAAAGAAATGCAGCCGATGTTCATTCTTCCCTAAATACTCCAGATGGGAGCTGCAGAATATTTTATGTTTATCTTTTAGGGTAAGGCAGTCCAACCTTGGCAACGTTAAGATCTGAAGATCTGTGCTGCTGGGGAATTCTGGAGTTAAAGTCCACAAGTCTTAAAAGTTTCCCAGATTAGGCACCCCTGTTTTGTTGTTGTTAGTTGTGAAGTCATGTCCGACCTATCGTGATCCCATGGTCCTCAACGTTCCTCCAGGCCTTCCTGTCCTCTATCACCCTCTGGAGTCCATTTATGCTCACGCTGGCTGCTTCGGTGACTCCATCCAGCCACCTCCTTCTCTGTCGTCTCCTTCTTCTTTTGCCCTCCATCGTTCCCAGCATGAGGCTCTTCTCCAGGGAGTCCTTCCTTCTCATCAGATGGCCAAAGTATTTGAGTTTCCTCTTTGGGATCCGGCCTTCTAAAGAGCAGCCAGGGTGGATCTCCTCTAGGACTGACTAGTTGAATTGCCTTGCAGTCCAAGGGACTCGCAGGAGTCTTCTCCAGTACCAGAGTTCAAAGGTCTCCATTCTTTGGTGCTCAGCCTTCCTTATGGTCCAACCTTCACAGCCATCCATTGCAACTGGGAAAACCAGAGCCCTGACTAGAGGCACTTTTGTTGGCAGGGGGATGTCTCTGTTTTTTAGGATGCTGTCTAGATTTTCCATAGCTTTCATTCCCAGGGGCAAGCGTCTTTTAATTTCTTGACTGCAGTCCCCATCTGCAGTTATCTTGGAGCCCAGGAAAATAAAATCTGTCACTCCCTCCATTTCTTCCCTATCTATTTGGCAGGAATTGAGAGGGCTGGATGCCATGATCTTAGTTTTCTTAATGTTGAGTTTGAAGCCAACTTTTGCACTCTCCTCCTTCACCCGCATCAAGAGGCTCTTTAGTTCCTCTTCACTTTTTGCCATTAGAGTGACATCATCTGCATATCTGACGTTGTTGATATTTCTCCCGGCAATCTTAATTCCAACTTTTGATTCATTTAGCTCCGCCTTTCTCAAAATAAATTTAAAAAAAAAATCACAATTTTATTTTATAAGTGTGGTTTGTTTCCAGCAATACTGGGCTTTGGGGAGAAGAAGATCTTGTGCAGAAATTTCTGAGACCAGCCTTGAGGGTCATGCCCTCATCTTTACTGAAAATGGACCAGACCAATTTATGGTGAAAACAGACATCGGTCATATTCTGCCCTCCCTAAACAAACAACTCCCTTCTTCTGAATTTGATGCTGCAGTCATGCTTGTGATTTACATTCCTATCTGGCTTCTAATCAGCTAATATGGCTGGATGTGTTTACACCCGAAGGGATCTGTTTTTTGTTAGAGCACATCACATCCTCAAGTCATAAACTCCTCCTCCTAAGCCTTCCTAGAATTCCCCTTCTTCTCAAATCCCTGTGCGGTGATTTTGGCAATTCAGCCTTTTGATTTGGGTAATATAGATCAGGTTGACTTTTACAGATAATCCTCATCTTACAACCTAGTGAGCCATAAAAGGAAGCCCCGTGCTTCAATTAATTCAGAAGATTTGCGTTCACTCTAGACTTGATCCCAAGAGTTACCAAAATGGGTCAACGTTTTCTGGGAAATGTTTTGTTGACTTGGTTTCACACAGCATGCTATCACACATTATAATATGGTGCCTTTGAGCATTCAATATCATGTGAATGGTTATACAGTTTGTTAACAAAGAATTAAGGTTGAGCAAACCGTATGAACCCAAGCAGAGTATTTATGACTCAGAAGAACTTTTTCCCTCTCTTCACAAGGTTCCTTTTCCCCAACAGGTTCGCCTTTCTTCTCAGAATTTCTGAAGGAAGGACATGTGAGGCTGTATCCAGACAGCTTATGTACCTCTGCACGACTTGCAAACAAGACTGTCACTGAGAATATGCTGTGTGCAGGAGACACCCGACAGTTTAATGACGCCTGCCAGGTAAGCTGCAAAATGTTAAGAGTAACCTTGTAGGATCCGTCTGAAGGTTCAGCATTCTCTCTGAAGGGAGACACCAACAGTGGTGGGTTCCGGTCCTGTCGCTACTGGTACGCTGCGCACAGAGATGGGCGTCCTAGTTGTGCACGTACACTGCACACGCATGCCACTGGCCCTGCAATACCCAGCTGCTTGGCGGAGGTTGCGCAGGTGCCGCACACTGTGCGCATGTGCGCAATTGGCCGGTCGTGTTATAAACAGGTATGGAACGCGGGCAAGTGGGCCAAACAAGCCACCGTACCAATACAGTGGCTGCTGCTCCCGGCTACTACCGGTACTGCTGTATCGTACTATACCTCCCGGAACCCACCACTGCAACTAAGTACCAGGAATTCTGAAGGCTGAACATTCCCAGTATAGAATTTCTCTTTTTCCTCCTGGAAAAAGGATTCAGATATTCTGGGGTAATTGGCCATTTCTGGAAGTCACTTCAGAAGAACAAGAAAAAGTTTATGATGCTTTAGACATGTACAAGTCTAAGTAAGTCCTCGGCTTATGGCCACAATTAAGCCCAAAATTTATGTTGCTAAGCAACAGTTGTTAAGTGAATTCTGCCCCATTTTACCACCTTTCTTGACAATGTTGTTAAGTGAATTGCCTCAATTATTAAGTTAGTAACACGGTCGCTCTATGAATCTGACTTCCCTGTTGACTCTACACGTCAGAAGGTTGCAAATGGCAATCCCATGAGCCCACAAATACATGCGAGTTGCCAAGCACCTGAATTTTGATCACATGCTTTAATGGGTGGAAAACGCTCACGAGTCACTTTTTTCAAAATGCCATTGTAACCTTGGATGGTCACTCCGAAAAGAAAGCCAGGCGTTATGGAGAGCTGCCGTCTCTAACTCATTCCTTCTCTGATCCCCACAGGGTGATTCCGGAGGCCCCCTGGTTTGTCTGAACGATGGACGCATGAAGTTAATCGGTATCATCAGCTGGGGAATAGGTTGTGGCAAGAAAAACACGCCAGGGGTTTACACCCGAGTGAGTCGCTACCTGAAATGGATCCAGGAGAACATGCGTAACTGAGTCTTTCAGGGCTTCCTTTCAGGAACTCCTTGCATCAGGGAATCACACTCTAGGAACTGGGCCGGGAAGCCGGTGTTACTCATGGGGAGGACACACACTTTGTGCGGTGCCTCTCTCCTGCAACAATGAGTTTGAGGTCTGTGCAGCTGTGCTTAGGAACCGGGCTAAAACAATAGTATTCTTTTTTTCAAGAAGCATTTCTAGGCATGCCTAAGACTGGATGCTTACAGGTAATCCTCGTCTTAGGAACTGCAACGGAGCCCAGAATTTCTGTTGCTAAGCGAGATAGTTGAGTTTTGCTCCTTTCTGGCCACGGTTGTTAAATGAATCTCTGCAGTTGTTAAGTTAGTAACCCGGTGGTTAAGTGAATCTGGCTTCCTCCTTGATTCTGCTTGTCAGAAGGTTGAAAAAGCGGATCATGTGATCCCAGGATATGGCAACCATTGTGAATACATGCCACCAAATTTTGATCACATGACCATGGGGATACTGCAATGATCAGGTGAAAAACAGTCATAAGTCACTTTTTTCAGTGCTGTTGTAACTTCGGTCACTAAACTAATTGTTGTAAGTTGAGGACTACTTGTATTTGCTACAACCACGTCTGAGCGTTGCTTCTGCCTCCAGTCTTGTTGAAACGTAATGATTTGAAAGACTCTGAGTAGATGGGACCTGGCCTGGCCTTGGGCATCCTCAAATCTGCATCCCCTAGTTGATTTTTTTGGGGGGGAAAATCCTCTTTCTATAAATTAAGGTTTGCATTTCAAGGTGTTTTCTACAAAACTGAAGAAATCCTTGTGAGGAAACCAAATCAGAAAATTAATTGCTAATGGGTTTTTTTATACATTTAAAGGAAGAATTGGTGATTGCTTTGAGCACCTCTCTCCCCATAAAACTTTTTTATATTTTTATACTCTGTAAAATTTTCACATTTTCTGTATAAAATCAAAACCCCATTTCCCGATGTGCAGAGTGACGGAAGGGTTTTCTGCTATCAAGACGACTATTGGGAATCATCTCCAGTATGTTTTAATACATTAAACTATTTTAAATTACCTGACGTTATCCATGTTTTGCTCATCGTGCATCACACCATACCTGACACACACAGCATTTGCCTGCTATGTTTTTGTATGATTTATTGGACTATGGCATGGGCATTGGAAGGGGGACAGGTAAAATGCTCACGGCTGCTTCATGATATTATTAAATAAATGACCTTATTTGTACATGCATCAGGTACACATTTGTGCAGGATATTCTCACAGCTTGCAAAAGACATTTATGCTCAGAGCAGCTAGCTTTAATGCAAATGGATGTGATTTTATCTGTACAAGATGCAGTTTTTATGTAAAATAAAATATTTTAGTTTACATATATAATATGCATTAGAACGGAATTTACTCTGTGAATTCCCTTTCTCTAAGTCAGCCCTTGAGAGTTGCAGTTATGTACAGGTAATCCTCGACTTACGACAATTGAGCCCAACATTTGTTGTTAAGATACGCTTGGATTTTGCAAGAGTTTTCTCTATTGTGAGATTAGAGAGTAAAGAGAGAGAGTAGAGTAGAGAAGAATCAGAGTTGGAAGGAACCTTGGAGGTCTTCTAGTCCAAGCTCCTGATCAGGCAGAAATCCTATACCATTTCAGACACTCTAAATCAGTGTTTCTCAACCTTGGCAACTTGAAGATGTCCGGACTTCAACTCCCAGAATTCCCCAGCCAGCATTTGCTGGCTGGGGAATTCTGGGAATTGAAGTCCAGACATCTTCAAGTTGCCAAGGTTGAGAAACACTGCTCTAAATTAAACACAGCACAATATGTGTCATTGATCAATCCAATCTCTTCTTAAAAACTTCCAGTGATGGAGCATTTACAACTTCTGGAGGCAAGTTGTTCCACTGGTTAATTGTTCTGTCAGGAAATTTCTCCTCAGTTCTAGGTTGCTTCTCTCCTTGATTAGTTGCCTCAGGTGCTTTGGGGAATAGCTTGACTTCCTCTTCTTTGGGGCAGCCCCTGAGTTATTGGGACACTGCTATCATGTCTCCCCTCGTCTTTCTTTTCATTAAACTAGACATACCCAGTTCCTGCAACCGTTCTTCATATGCTTTAGCCTCCAGTCCCCTAATCCTCTTTGTTGCTCTTCTCTGCACTCTTTGTAGAGTTTCCACATCTTTTTTACATCGTGGTGACCAACATAAAGGGTAGATGTGAAGGCACAATCAAAGAATCAAATTGTCAAATTTAATCCACAGGGTAGATCAAGGCCATGACATCAGGGCCAAGTACTCTGCTTCGATGCTAAGCTCACACAGAATTTGCACATCATGCTGAGCTACCACTTTGTTGTGGCTTATTGAACGACTCACAATTGACTGGAACAAAGGCATCGACAAGTACGGTTTATATGCCATTGTGGTGTGGCTTGCACACATTAACTCTAAATAAAACACAGCATAATATGCGCCATTGACCAGACACCAAGAAGACTCAAGTTCTAGTTCTCCCGCCACCCCAGAAGACCCCTGGGGACACTCAAATCTCGCAGCTCAACCTTTCCCACAGAACGGCTTTTGTCAGGAGATGTGTGCTGTGATGGTGTGTGGGAATGACCTTGAGAAATACAACCAAGGCAATAGAACTGGAAGGGACCTTGGAGGTCTTCTAGTCCAGCCCCTTGCTCAAGCAGGAAAACCTATAACATTTCAGACACAAGAACCTGTTATCCCTGCGAGGTAGTCCAGACAAGAAGCATGCCCCAATGAGCAAATTCTACTTTACTGTAAGGTTACATGAACACAATCTTGCAAGTCTGAAAGTACATCTCCTCCCCCCCACCCGCCCCCATTCACCTAGGTCCAAGAAACTAGGGAGGTCTGCTCATTCACTCTGCAGATTCAGCTGTTTCTTATCTGACCATTGTCTAGTCTGTGGCTCTTCCTCCAAGTTCATTCCTACCTACCATTATACAGGACTACGATGTACACTCATTTGAACTCCTAGAGCTCAGATATTAAATTTAATAAATAAGTCTAGTACAGGGGCATCCAACCTTGGCAACGTTAAGACTTGTGGACTTCAACTCCCAGAATACCCCAGCCAGCAATGTTGGAAGTCCACAAGTCTTGAAGTTGCCAAGGTTGGACATCCTTGGTCTAATACATGGGTGTCAAACATTGCAGTCATGTGATGTTTCATGTTTCTCCCATACACGGAGCTGGGGTTGGGGTGGCCTGCGCGTGACGCTTCTGACCAGTTTGACACTCCTGGTCTAGTATGTTGTGAGTTCCAGGCTGACACTTATGTGTGGATAACCTTTTCATCTGGACTTGTTACGTTACCCTAAGCCATGGTTTATTGGATTCATAAGTGTGGTTTGCACAACACAGCAAGCTATGGCTTGTTTAAGCTAGAGAAGCTGAATCTGCAGAGTAAACCACACTGCACACATGTGCATAAATACATATGCACGAGTAAACTAAATGTTAATCGTCTCATGACCTAGAAGCAGTCAAAGCTCAGCCAATGGAGGTTGCGGTGAATGAGCAACCTTCTTACACCATCACTGCACATACCCTGAAGTTGTTAACTCAAACTCTGGGGGCCACTATGAGTCGGTCTGCCGGGATTAAGATCTCTGTGCCAGGTGAGATGCTGCAAAGCAGGAAGGAAGGTCTCCCTTCAGAAGGACTGCAGCTGAGGCATGCTGTCAACAAGGGATTGAGAAGCATCTGAACGACAAAGCGACAGCTGGTGTCTGGTAACCAAAGTTAAAAATAATGATGAGAAAGAAGGAAGAAAAAAAGTTAGATCAAGAAGATTGGCATAGCTTAGCCTAAGCTGGTTAAGGACAGAGCAGAGAGCGAGTCTTCAGGGTGCTGAGTTAAGATGGGGCAAGAGCAGAGGATTCACACATTCAATTCCCAACACCTTCGGTGACTTGAAGTTCCCTTTTAGTGTGTCTCTCTTGTCTTGTGACACATTAGCTGTGTTCTTATGACAGGTTTATCTGAATATTTATTCAGTTTACTTTAGTTTCTGGTTTTGCTCTAAAGCAGGGATGTTCAACTTTGGCCACTTTAAGACTTGTGGACTTCAACTCCCAGAATTCCCCACCCAGTATGTCCAACTTTGGTCACTTTAAGACCTGTGTGTCAACTCATAAAGTTGCCATGGTGAGGAAAGTGGGGGAGCGCATTCCACGCATACTTTTGGCTAGAGTCGGATTTCAGATTACTACAGCAGGCTTGGGAGGGGTGCACTTCATTGGGGAATGTGATTTGTGACACAGACTGAGGGGAGGGAAGGAACAGGGGTAAAGTTCAGCTATAATTCAAATGAGGCTCAGATCTGACTGCAACAAGGTATTGCCAAAATGGTGCTCCTAATAAATGACTGGTTTTTTTTAAAAAAAAAAACGTGGCTCAAGGCTGATGAATCAATTAGGGCATCTTTTGGAAACCTGACACTGTGGACTTCAACCCCCAGAACTCCCCAGCCAGCCATGCTATCTGGGGAATTCAGAGAGTTGAAGTCCGTAAGTTTTAAAGTGGCCATGATTGGACACCCTTGCCTAAACCATCAGCTAATTGCAGCAGTCAAGTGAGCACAGCATGCGAAGTTCACTGCAATATGATGGTCCAAGACAAGTGCAGCCCCATTTAGTTCACTGAGAGGAGAGGTCATGCAAGCGGAGGACCATGGGCTCTGTTATTCGTTGCTTTGGAGGAATGGCAAAAATGGAAGTATAATAAATAAACTGCAGAGGTGGTATCAGGCCAAATCTGGTAGTGCCAGAACTCAACCCAAGACCTTCAGAATGCAACATTTGACCCTTAAAGAAAGATTAGGGAACTAGAACCCCACTACTATTCCGTTGCACCACGTCTGGAACAGCCTGGCTGTGGCTGATGGAAACTGCAGGTCAAAATGAAGGGAGCAACCTGGACAAGGGAAGCTCCCTGGAAGATCTAATGGGTTTTTCAACCAGCAGACTTGCCACAGGATGTTGGGATTTTCAAGAGGAAACACAGAGGACATATTAAAATTGGAAGACTTGCACCCATTGGATTGAATAACAGAATATCAAGAGTTGAAAGGGACCATGGAGGTCTTCTAGCCCAACCCTCTGCTCAGGCAGGAAGGAGACCTTATACCATTCCGGACAAATGGCTGTCCAATCTCTTCTTAAAAGCCTCCAGGGATGGAGCACCCACAACTTCTGGGGGCAAGCCGTTCCAATGGATAATTGTTCGGTTAGGAAGCTTCTTACTTCCAGGTTGCTTCTCTCCTTCATT